CCATTAGAGTGAGCCCTAATCCAATCTGACTGGTGTTCTTATAAGAAGAGAAAATTTGGATACACAGAGAGACACCAGAGGTGCATGTGCACAGAGTAAAGACCATGTGAAGACAGAGCACGAGGGCAGCAGTCTGCTGGCCAGGGAGAGACCTCAAGAGAAACCAGATCTGCTGACCTTGATCTTGGACTTCTAGCCTTTAAAACTGTGAGAAAATAAGTTCCTGTTGTTTAAGCCACCCAGTCTCTGGTATTTTCCTATGGCAACCTTAGCAAACCAATACACTTAATATCTTTGCAGAGAGATTCAACCAATACACTTAATATCTACCTCAGAGAGATTTCCACATCTCAGAGAGATTTGGAATGTTACACATCAGCTCTGAGTAACCTTTTGTTACTGAGAGTTTTTCTAAGGATCAAATATGAAATGTTGTAAAAAGATATATATATTAATTGACTTCTGTGTAACTAGGATGGGCATGAAGAGGAACTAGATGGTTATGTATATGAACACTCATTTTTGAAGTTACTTATGAAGGTATTTGTAGTCTCATTGTCATTTTTCATATCTCTAACACTTTGAAAGCAGAGCATTTGTATTTTCTACTGGAAATTCTGAAGTTTCAATAACTCTCATTCAAGAAATGGTTTTGAATCTTGTCACTATGTCTGAAATATTATGTTAGAAATTTGATTAGGAATTTCTTTTGCAGTTTTGTACTTGTAGCTGAGGGTTAGGATTTGAAATACGAATGAAGCATGTTTTACTCTAGTCCCTAAATTACCTCCAATCTATGATTAGGACCGTCAAAATGCTGCAGAATACAGCTGTAACTACTTTCATGTTGTTTGGAAAGAGTAGAATGCATTTGGCATGTAGTCACATATATTTCTTTTTATAAACTAAGTACCCATGAGCACAGACTTAAAATTCAGGTTAAGAAACTCAAATCTGTTGCTGTATTGCTTATTCAGTTCCACAAATACAATAGAAAGATGATAACAAGATAAATTGCAGTAGTAGAATATAAAGCTGAATTAGCCTACTAAAAGCAGCCAAACATCAGTTCTTAATTAAGAAATGTTATAGACCCTGAAATTTCAAGTGGGAAGATCAGTCAGCTGGCTACAGAGACGCTTAACAGTGTAGCATTAACTGGGTCAATTCTTATTAGCCCATGTCCTTATACGTAGCTTTTGAAGGCTCAGAAATTCAATCTTATCAACATCTCAGAGTTATTCTTTCTCAGAAGAGTTCATACTTTCCAATAAAGCTGAAAAGCTAAAGAGAGACTGATACAGAGTCAAGAAATTCCTACTTAATCTTTATATAATAAAAATAAATAATAGTTAAGAGCCTATCATTTTCTTTGTCTATGGTCAAGCTCCATGGAAAATCAGATTAAAATAGTTATATTTATCATCACATTATAAGATAGCACACACCTACATACTTATAAAATACTTATGCACCCTCTTGCCTTTGAGTAGTGCCTATGTGAGCTTGAGGGTGGGGCTGTCTGCATTACTAGGAAGAGAAAAACTATCTCTGTAATGTTTAAGAAGTCTTTATTTTTAAAGATTGATCAAATACATTGTATTTAGCTAGAAAGAGCAAAGAAATTAAAAGTAAAAATTAACAGTGCATCTCTCACTTAGTATAGGAAAATACAGTATCAAGCAGAAACTAGGCATGTTTACCAGACATTTTACAATGATTTCTCATAAGTGTGGAAATTAATTTATAGAAAATATATTTGCATTCTAAATACTGTAGTCTAAACAGTTTAGTAATCAAATATGCCTTTAAGTTAACAAACCAATCCAGTGATACTTTTTAGATATAGTATATACATTTATAAATTGTGGTTTCTACTAGATCCTTTCAGTATTATAAAATAGTATTTGATTATTTCTCATTTGCATACTTTTGCTTATGGATTTATATGTGTGTGGATGAGAAATTTCCTCTTCCCAACGGTCCCTGCAGTTAGGTATAACAAAGTATGACATTAAGTTAGTGATGATTCCAACTCATCCATTTTGTTTCCCACAGATTAAGAATGAGGCCCAAGTAAATCTGCTATCTTCTTAAACATCCAGACCACAGTTTGAAAATAAAAGTTATATATTTCTTCTCATTCGGTATAAATACATGGCAGCTGTTATCATGCTTAAGCTTCAACTTATTGAAGGCAGTAGCCAACTCATTAAAGATCATTTCCGCTGGATAAGGAATGTGTAAGACATCAGTTTCTTTGTAATGTATTTTCACTTTCCTTTGAAGTTTCTTGTCCTGCCAAAATTTCCATTTCCTCCTGCAAGTGGATTTCAACACCTGATGTCTGTTTGACCTTGTTGTGTTTGTACATTTTACCTTCCACCACCCACAGGTTCTGAGATTGACCATACACTTTCCTTGTAATTCTGACACCCTTCCATTGGGTGGCCTATTCTTACTGTCCCTCTCCACCTTTAAGCCCCCACACAACACTCAGAATTACTCCTCAATATGAAAGTGAAAAATCAGGAAGTAGAAATGCACAATGCACTATCATCATTGACAGTTTGGGAACTCAAATTGAGGTCAGAGTGAGGGGAAAAAATGGACATCACCTTCTTTCTTCAATCACAGGAAGTCAGAGATGATGATGGATGGAGCAGCTGGAGAGAAGTAATCATGTTTTCTACATGATGTATTGCCTCTGCTCAGCTTTTCCTGTAGTTTGGTACATTCTGTTTTAGCTGATATGTACAGACTAGGAGTCAGACAATTCCTTTGCACCACCTGAAAGTACCCCAGTTTTTTGGACATTTCATAATACTTTTCATAATTCATCTTTAAATCAGTATGCAATACTTTCTGTAATAAAATATGTTTTAAATAATGAACCGAAGCTTTTTTCTTTTTTTGGTATCTAATTCTTTTTAGGAGTCATCTCTTTTTGTTTATATTTTATTGAGTAATAATTTAAATTGAATACTCTGGGACCCAATAGGTTCCACTTAAAAAATAGTTGTATCAGAATTTGTGTCAGAAAAGTAGCAGCTCATCTTACACATAATAACTGCAGAATCTTTCTTTCATGTGTTAAATATCAGAAATCCATTTTGTGAGACTGTTTTACACTGAATGGAGTAGGTACTGCTCATAAATTGGTATTGGGTTGACAGTAATCCATATTAAAATTGCTGTGAAGTGCAAATCACCTAGTATTAAACATGAGCCCCTTACCTTTTATAAAGAGTTTAAACAAATATAATGTAACAATCATAGATTGGTTGTTTTTAAAATAGCTATTGACCATATTGAAGGACCCACTTGTTCCTTGACTTCTGATAAGTTGAGGGTCTCCATTGCAGCTACCACTCATTCTTAGTCATTCATTTGCCTGTTGAAGCCCCCTTCTTTTGAGTGTGTTCCCTCAGCAATGTAGATTTCCATTGTAGATTTAAAAGATAAACTGCACTCAAGTTTAACTCTTAAGTGCAGCCCAGTAAGAGTCACCAAATAGCAGTAAGATACCGTGACGTGAGCCTGATAACAACCAGATGGTCCTCTTCATTTAGGTCCTGAACTTTCACTTGACTTTCCATTATCATTTCCAATTCTTCTTTGGCTTAAAGATTGTCTGACTCAATTTTTAATTTCTCTAGCCCTTATTTTCCCACGGTTCTGGGGGCGAAAATTCTGAGGTCAGGGTGTCAGAGGGTTGATTTCTTCTCAGGCCTCTCCTTGGCTTGTAGGTGGGTCTCTCTTTTTGTGTCTTCTCATGGTCTTCCCTGTGTGTGTGTCTGGGTCCTAATCTTCTCTTTTTATAAGGAAACTAATCATGTTGGATTGGGGCTCACCTTTTAACTTAGTTACTTCCTTAAAGACCCCCTCTCCAAATACAGTCACATTCTGAGGTACTGGTGGTCAGGACTTCGACATATGAATGCGGGTTGGTGGGATCACATAATTCAGTCCATAATGATGGCGCTTTACACCATTTTAATTTGCCAGAAACCAAAAATGTGTAAAGCACATGTTTGTTTGAACTTTGAAACAGCGCAGTGAGGAGCCAGAGTTATAGTGAGGCCTAGTTACCTGCTTGAGGCCTCCTGTCTGGTAGAAGGCAGAACTAGAGCCTGGATCTTCTAATTTGAACTTCTCTACCTTTTTCGCTCTGTGGTACTGCAAACTGAACTCGTTAATTGTACAGATAATTGAACTTGATAATTGTACAGATAATTATAATATTATAAATAATAGAACTTGATAATTGTACAGATTTTTGAATGCTTGGGTATATTAGATATGCATATTTTGGATCTTGATCTGTAAAATTCAGTCAGATTTCTGCTGTACGTTCCCCTAAGATTTATTTTTAGTAAAGAATAAACCTTATTTGCAGTACTGAGGATTTTTAGCCATTTGGTCACTGCCAGTGGAACAGGTGTGGTGGGGGAGGGATAACACAGAACCGCTGACTCTATTTCTACTTTTCTCACAGTTGTTACAAAGTTCAGTGTCAGAACAGCCCAAACCACTTTGGCAGTCCTGGCTCATGAATCGCTAGCTCTCTCCTACCCCATCAGGAGCCCTGTCAGTGGGTTAACATTTTAGTAGTTAATCATTCTGATTGGTGAGAGTTGATTCAAGCCTGCCATGAATCTGATGACTCTTTTTTCTCTTATCTTTCCTATTAGCAGTGCCTAAATGTCTCTTATAGACCCTGGAAATCATTCTTTTGTCTTATGATTCTTTCTCCTCATATCTTATGAATGTCTTGAGTATGTGACTGTTTCAAAGCTTTCTATATCTACAAAGATACAAATGATCACTTGCATCAATTGAATATCCTACTTTTAAAAGATACAAATATGACTATGTTTAAAATTTGTAAAGAAGTTATTAAAATTCAAAGGGCAAAGTTTGACAGGTGATTGTGACAGATATATTAATGTCTACCTTTTTTAAAGCATCAAAATAATAAAAATATTTTCTTTTGAAAGTTGGCCAGGGATACTTTGCCCTGATCCTTTTAAAGGGAAATATGTGACCTATGACCTGGATGGAGATGTTGAACAGTATCACATAGAATTCCTGGGTGATCCCCATTCAAGATCATGGATAGATGCAACGTTTGTTGGACATTATAGTATCACATTAAAGGTAGGTACAGTAACATCAAAACTTTGTTCCTCTTGCACTTGTTTTTAATTATGGCCATTTTGTCTCAGATCCTAAAAGAGATATAATTTTTTACTTTTATATTTATATAAACAAAATAGTATGTACTATTTGTTTAAACTCAAATATTTGTATTTTTAAAGCAGCTTTTTCAAAGGAAGTATGGATATAAAAATAGCCACGAGGTAGTTTTAAATTTTATTTCTCTAATGGCAATATAGTGTAAATCAACTGAGGACTCTCCATAATTGCCTTTTGAAACAGATTTACGATTCCATCATTTGGTAATTTTTTAATTCTCTTGAGAAGATTCTAAGTTATAGCCCTAGCTCACAGGGAAGATTAATTACGGAATGCAACCAGATTTTTCAAATTTCAAACAGTATTTCATTATACTATTTCAGTATTTTTTGATTCTTTTTAAACTTTAAATCACACACTACAATTAATGAATAGACTCAATTCTCAAGTTGATGAGAGTAAGTGAATTGGACCTGTTTTCATGGGTTTGGTTTAATTGTTATAAATTAATTCAATTATCCGTATCTGTATTCTAATATTGAAACTTTTCATCTGCAAACCATGCTTTCATTAGAAATCTGATTAAAAAGTAGATGTCAGAAATGTGAATGCCTTTGACTCAATTTGGATGGTTCCTATTTTAGAGTGATAAGTATATATATATTCAAATATACATATACATGTATGTACATTTAAGGCATGCCATTTAATCCACAGTATAAGGAAATCTGTGGAAATCTGAGGTACTTGCAGATGGACTTCTACTTTTTCTCTGGCATAAACAGTACCTTTGTTCCATTCAGCTTGAAAGCAGCTGGAAGGGAAGGCTGTTTCAGTAGAAATATTTAAGTATGGAATAACATCACATACATTCATTTTATGGTAGTTGTGAGCCAGTCATTTTAGTATGAGGCACCTTCTCTGCTCGGACATTTCAGATGTGTCCCTGGGCACTTCTGATGGCAACCACAGAAGATAGGAAGGAGTGTTCTTCCTTATGTGCCCCTCCCCTTTTCTAAAAGATAGGGAAACCTAGCTTCTCATGAGGCAGAAATTAGAATCTTAAATATTTGACAGTGTGATAAAGAGCAGGGCATTCTTAAGAAATTGTATTTAAACATACATAAAATATCAAAGTGTATTTTTGTCTGAAGTAATGTTACTCGCAGGATTTGGGTTCTGTCAGGATAAATTTGAATAGTCTGATTCCACTGAGCATACCATTAATCCCTGGGACAAGGAAAAAATCTGATGCAAAACAAAACTAAACTCAAGAATCAGGAGCCATAAGGTTTTAACCTTCTGAAAGCATTAAAACAAGCAAAGACCATGAATTCAGGGCTGTTTAAATTAAATAGGCTCCTAAAGCAAGAATGAGAACAGAGAAAAATAAAGCATTTGTTTCACCTCTTCTGTCCCCTACTCCCCCAGCTGGCTGGGTGCTCTGGGTGGATAACTCACTGGGTGACCACAGGCTCTGGGACAGGCTCTCTCCTCTACTGTCATTCATGGTGTCTACCTACAGGCTCGTGTCTCTTACTCTCTTCTTGTTTGTATGTTTTTCTTCACTTCCTCTCTTGGAGCTAATATAATAGGGATGCCTTCTTCTGTGGGTCTCTTCATTCAAGGCTGAAATTTTAGTTCCCCTTTACCTCAGATTCAGCTGGCACATGCCCAGCTGCCCTGCTATGCTCCGATTCCCTACTCCTGGCTATCTAAGAATCTCCGCTTGCCAAGAAGGAAACTCACAGATGATTAAAGGCTCATTGCCCCAATGAGAAGTCAAGAAACAGAAAGCGAAGAGGTCAACTGACAACCAAGATAGAAAAATGGTACCTATGAGAAATTGTTTGAAAATGAATAATATCAAACTATATCCCTTGGAGATGGAGATAGTATTGACTCCAACGTGCAGTTCAATTGCCTAGACATCCCAGGAATTTAATCTGTTATGGTCCTCTCTGCACTGGAGCTCCTTCTTCCTCAAATACTGTCTCTACACTGTGCCAGGTTGATCCAGATATTAAATTCACACCCCTGCCTCCATAAAAATATGACTTACACAAAAATAAATAATGTGTATTAGACAATGTAGACCTTCTTAAAGATTTTTGTAGAAGAGATGGAGAATGGTTGCACATTGCACCTGTTGTCTGAGCTCCTTTTCTAAAAGTAGACACAGAATGATAGGCATATACAGCTCTCACTGTTTAAGCTGACTATATCTTACTTCATATATATTATTTCAACATTACTTTCTCCTAATTTGTGTAAGCTTAGTTTAACAAATGATTAAATAACATTTCAGAGTTTTCACTGACTGTGGACTATATTTTGCAGTGTGTGTTTTACTGTGAGAGAGAAATAAGCTCTTCTAGAAAGACATTATATGCATTTATGAAAAAATAAAATATTTTTTAGTTTTAGATTCTGAAAATGTTAAGTCTTCTCTTTTAGTTCATGTTTGTCTAGTTTTTCTTCTTTCTTTTATTTTTTTTAGTAGTCACTGAAAAATTGATATGTTTATGGGACCAGTGACTTATTAATTTTCTTGTTGACAGCACAACAGAGCTCTGTCACTGTGGATGAATATGTATATGAATATACAGGTGATAAGCTTTTCCCCAGTAAATAAAATTACTCATCAATATATTGGGATATACTTCAGAAAAAAGTTGAAGGCAATATTTAGATTTTGTATTTGTAATTTATATTAGTTTACTCATACATTTTATTTTTTCATTTACCATAAAATCAGTAGTATAAAGATAGCTGAAATTCCCTTCCCCTTTTAAAGAAACCTTGATTCTCTTATGGTATATATTCAAAATACATGTCACTCTGGTAATTACTTAGAGAAAATAGACGTGAACATGTGCTAGATAGCTATTTAAGAGTTGATGCATGGAGTACAGTTCTTTCCCCAGTTAGCACAAATGTTGTTTCTTTTATATTTAGTAGGTACATGTCTGCAGAATCCATTATTTGCAAGTTTATTTCTTTGCTTGATAGACTACATGACTTAGTTTAGTATTTCTTAAGCCTGGCTTTGCATTAGAAGGCTTTATAAAGCAATGACAGCAACCAAAACACAGCAATGCCTGGGCTGTACTCTACTGGATCAATTAAATCAGAAGCTCTTGGAGTAGGGCCAGGCCTCAGCATTTCTAAGTCCCTCAAATGAATCTGTATCCCAGAGAGAGAGAACCACTGACTAAGTTTTCTCAACTTGAGGCATCAGACTTTTGTTGGTTTAACTCTACTAGTGCAGTAATGTAACTGTGGTCATGGCTCACTGTTTCATGACGCCTTTCTCCTACTTCCTTTGTTAGTCTTTCATTCTGGTTTGCCTGGAGATGATGCTGACTGCCATAGGTTCACATGTCTAACCCAGAAGTAAGAGTTTCCCTGAACACAGCTTTAAAGTCAATCTTGTCATTGAACATTGTACATAATTTATAGATATTGCTGATAAAGCTGATGTATAATTTAAATGTAATATGTATAGCATGTTTTAGTTGATGATCTATAAGTTACATAGAGTCATTATAATTTTTATTGGACATAAATTATGTACTCCAACCAGTGATCGCTTGGCCTACAATTTTCTAGTTCTTTATACTGCCAAGAAAATGTAAGCAGTTCACCCCTGATGCTAGGAGGCTCCTGTGGTAAAATTTAGGGTTTCTTTTGGTCCATGATGTGAGTGGATTTTTTTTGTCTATGTATTTTAACAGTCTGCTCACTACTGTATGGAGGATATACCTGGAGATGTGTAAGCATTTCTTTGGGTACCAGATGTCATTTGGGTATTTACCCGTTGTATTATGGAGCTGCCTCTGTTTTCCAGGGATATGAAAAAGGAGCAATGCTGTATTGCTAAACTTGAGCTCTGCAATTCCTAGAATTCTGCTTCCTAATTGGGGTGGTCATTAATACTGTTCACCAAAATGTTGCAGGTTACTGCCTTCCTGTTATAAAGTAGAGATGCACATTTGATACTCTTGAGGTGGGGTGAGACCAATGAGTTGTGAGTGAGTGATGAATATCTGAGCATATGACTGTGTCCAGTGCAACATCATCCAGAGTTCTCTCTCTCTCTGGCTCTGTGACTGATAATTGAAATTTTCGTTTGCTACTCTCTCAGCCCAGATCCCTTGATCACTCTTAGCAAAGGCCTCCACTGCCAACAAATAACAGATCTGCAACATGAAGAAGATATAGGCCTCACTTTAAGCCCTAGGATTATCCTAACAGATACACTAATGATAGTACAGAGGATGTTACAGTTCTTTGTAACCTGTATCTTTAGCAGGACCATTCCTGAAGCTTCAGTACTCTTCAGAATACAGCCAAACGACTGAAATCACATTACTCTTAATTTTTCCAGTCTGTAAGTAGAACTAACACAACCTGTAGTAATTTATCAAATAAGTTGATTTCTTTTCTGTATTATGATAAACATATGATAGAAGTTACCAGCATTGATGATACATTGAATCTAAATTTGGTCCAGTAAATATCCTCCAGCAAAGGGCTCTGATTGTCAGTATGCACTGCAGTGACTCCAGTAACTAAACAAGCCTATAAATAGCAATCATGTAATTGAACCCCTGCTACAGGCCAAGGATTGGGTAGATCCTTTTATAATAATATAACACAATAATATATAATATGTATATATAATATAATAAATATAATATTTAAAGTCTCATAGCAACCCCATGAAGATAGGCATCACCACTATTGACATATGGAAGAAACTGTGATTCAGGCTTCATGTCTAGCCCAAGGTCAATCAGCTGCTAAGGGATGGGGCAATGATTAGAATCAGGATGTCTAACCCCGAGGTCCAATTTTTCTCTCCTATACCTTGCCAATTTACGTATACATAAGCAATAGTCTAATTTATTGTTGAATGTTTTTCCACATTGAAATGAGGAACATTTTCACCTTTTAAT